GGAGCTGTTTGTACTAATAAGCACAGATGGAGTCATTACATGTTTGAATGACATGTTGAGACTTACGCAAATCACAGAACAACAGGCTTCTATTGGAATGTCTTTACACAAGGTTGTTTTATTGAGAGAGTAAAGCAATTGTGGCTAAATCCCAATTCACATGCTTCTACTACACCTTCCAAAAATATGTGCTTTTGAGTATGTAAAAAGATGCTATGACAGTTTTGGGCCGTACTGATAAAATTGTCTTGATACCACATTTCCATGTTTTGCATGTAAGTGTTAGCATCTAAATATATTCCTGTACTCATTAAATTCAGTTACTTTTACCTAAAATCAACTTTATAAAAGACATTCAGTACTCTTTTTATTTTTTATTATGTGACACATTTCTGAATGAAATAGAATATTCAACAATAACAAAAATAAGATAAGACTAGATTTTATCCATCATTATTTGTATTACACTACTTTTGGTCAGAAATAATTTTTTTTATGTTTTTGATCGTCTCTAATGTTCACCAAGCCTGCATTTGTTTAGTCTACAAAAGTACAGTAAAATAACTTTTTCTATGTGAATATAATTTGAAATCGAATTTATTCCTTTGATGTCAAAGCTGAATTTTCAGCAGCAATTACTTCCGAAATTTGATGTTCCAGACACATTTCTTATTATTATAACAGTTAAAAACTGTTGTAGTGCTTAATAGTTTTGTGTGAAACTGTGATATATTTCAGGATTTTTTTACTGTTTTATAAATTGTAACACGATACATTTCTTTACTGTAAATTTGATCAATTTAATGAATCATTGTTGAATTAAAGTATTAATTTCTTTAAAAAAATGACTTGACCCCAAACTATTGAACAGTATATATTATATTATATTATATTATATTATATTGAAATAATATACCATCCATGCACCTTATTTGGGATGCACTAATAGTATGTGAATTGGGATTTAATACGTTGAGTCATTGAATATGAAGTATTGTCTGTGATTTTGAGTGTCTAAATTTGTTTGTGTATGAAAATAATAGTGCATCATTTTAAAATGATACACCTTTTCTCAACCAACATCTTTATATTTGAGTCTGTGACTCCAGACAACGTGACCTTAACTCTTTATAAAGTGTCTGATGTTTATGCTGTCAAGTTTGTTTGTTTTCTTACTGTATTCAGTGACAATTTAGACTCTTATTTCTGTATTTTACTGTATTTTGAGCACATGAAAATAAATCAAATGAACGCATCTGCAGTCTGTAATATTGCAACATTTTTCTCTTTAAGCTTCATGGTAGAATACTCAACCTATATGTAGGATAATGAATCTCAAACAGTGCATGTTTGTGTTCTTTATTAAAAGCCACTTTGATTTGGGCTGCTGTCCTGTCTGTGTTTTTTCCTGTTTGTGTCTGATGTTTATGCTGTCTAGTTTGTTTGTTTTCTTACTGTATTCAGTGACAATTTAGACTCTTATTTCTGTATTTAACTGTATTTTGAGCACGTGAAAATAAATCAAATGAACGCATCTGCAGTCTGTAATATTGCAACATTTTTCTCTTTAAGCTTCATGGTAGAATACTCAACCTATATGTAGGATAATGAATCTCAAACAGTGCATGTTTGTGTTCTTTATTAAAAGCCACTTTGATTTGGGCTGCTGTCCTGTCTGTGTTTTTTCCTGTTTCCTTATTTTCCATAAAATGCTTTACTAACGTTCAAATGTCAGGCTTTTATCGTTCGCACTCATGATGCTTCTGTAAGTTTCATCCTCCTTTGTTTTTTATTTTCATTTTCATTTTCAATTCTGATTAATCATTACCAACTCATCTCAGCCAAGCACATGTTAAACAAAGGTTTCTGTGTTTTTTTCAGATTACGTTCGGATCAGAGATTCCCAAGACCTACTATGTTCAAGACTCCATTAAAGTGGACTATGATCAGTGTGTGACTATTGGCCGTGGCTCATCTCATCAGGTGGAATATGAGCTACTTGCACCAAACTGTGCACTAAGGTGATCTGAGGAAACACAAAAACGCTTTCTAATACTAATACCACACAAAAACACACTCTCTGAGACTGATAACAGACATGGAGTTCGCCACGAACCAGTCACTGTTCATGACATCAAAGGTGCTGTAAACAAACCAGCAAGAATCTCTGCATGGGACGAGCATTTGGGTTTACTAACATTGGGTTTTGTTGGCACACCTTTGAAAGGCCTGGATTTGGATGCGAGAGTGTGAGCTTGTGAGCTTTTCAGTACAGGAACTTCTGTGTGTGATTCTACTCTATTCAATGGTCTCCTCTTCAGATGGCAGTTCAACTGTGATGGTGCCGACATAGGTTTCGGTGTCTATATAAAGAAGAGGATGGGAGAGTGGATGAAGGCTAGTGAGATGAAGGAAGTTGTGCCAAATCAGCGTTACAACGCACACCTGGTACCCGAGGATGGATCCCTCACCTGCCCAGAACCAGGAGTGTGTAAGTACAGCCTTACAGGCTTCATTTGTTATCACTAATTGAGATGAACATTAAACGTTCATGTGGCTTTACTGTGTTTTGTTTTATTCAGACGTACTGCGATTTGACAACACATACAGCATCTTCCAGTCCAAAACGGTCAGCTTCACAGTGGAGGTCCTCCTACCTAGTCAAGTCAACCAATCAGAACGTTAGATATTATGGCAACAAGCAAGCAGACAACTAGGTTATGGTTTAGAAACTATTGCTCTGAAGCATAAACTCACAACATCTTAGACCGTATATCTGCTGTAGTAAATATTATAATAATGCTGCTCTCGAAAAGGAGAGTATGTAATTGAACTGACCAATCAATGCATTACAATGGTGGGATAAAATTACACTTCAGTGATCGACGTGCAATGAGAGACTGTATCGTCCACTGACATATCTGGATCCTGACTTCGATGCCAGTGTGATTCTTTGCATTTGTTTCTCTGAGATGAACCTATTATCAGGTTCATTTGTTATATATTAATGAAGTGCTTATCATTGAGCCCTGGCTTAAGTGTAACAACTGTGCTGCAAATTACTAGACTGAAACTGTCTTGGCATGTATTATTTGAGCTTGCCCTTGTGTGCCCTCTTTATGATTGCCTTAACTCATGTTCTTGAAGTTATTTTATCTGTTTAGTTCTTTTTGATAATGAATTAATTTAGAGAATGAGCTCAGATGATGAGTCTGCACACATTTCCCTCAGAATGTGGTAAGAGGTTAAATTATTAAATACTTTAATGTTATTGACGCACACAAATCTGTGAACCTTTTGAAATATTTTGTTTACAAAGAGCATTTGACTTGATACAGAATATGATGTTGACATCATGGGTGGTTTGCCTTTTTTAATCCTACTTTTTTTTTGTATTATTTAACTAATTGATGTTGTAAACTTTTGCTTAGTAAGAAGATTTTATACCTCAGGTCCTTGTGTTTACGGTAACAGTGCTCATATTTGATTCCAGCAATGTGCATCTGTTCTGTCAATGTCTTTCTATGATGACCACATTGTATTTTCTCTTATTTCCATGTCTCTTTTTGATTTTGTAATATTGATGTAATTTATGAGTGATATTATATTGATTTGAATTAATTTACTACTTAAATATATACATTGCAATAGCATATACATTTTTTTCTTGTCTTTCTGAACTATATTAATGCAGGCCTATACTTTTAAAGGAATGTCTAACAACCAGTTCCCATGCACAGAGTAAATCTACTGTAATTAAAATAATTTGGAATATTAAAGCTCGGTGAAGATCAAGACTGATTCGTGTATGGAGGTTGTATGCAGGGTGAGTGTTTAAAGACCCGATGTGCGATATAACTGTAGTAACGTTCATTTGTAGCCTGTCTGATGGCTCCACCTGTTGGTGGAAGCATGTAGCGCCATTATAATGAAGCCAGTAGTTACATCTCTGTCCATTAGAAGGCGCCATTAAAACGGGAATCTAAAGATATCGAAGAGTAGCTTTATTTGCATAGCAAAAAGAAGCATTAAATTTCCAAAGCATTAATAAAAATATAAATTGTAATTATATTTAACAATATTATAGTTTTTATTGTTTTTTATTGTTTATTTATTTTTTAAATGCTAATACAGCCTTCGTGAGCATAAGAGACTTTTTCTTTGAAATTTGGAGGTGTTTGTAGTGTTTATACAGTAATCTAATCTATAATATATCTATAATATAAATGTAAAAATAATTGGATCTAATACAAAAATATCATGTATGTGTGTAAATCTGATGAAAGCTTTCCAGAATTTAGAACATATTTGTAAGGAAAATTAAGATTTGTATTGTGGCATCCATCAATGTACTGAAATGCAATATATATTCATATTGTACATTTTAGTTTACGTTAATTACTGTATAAACACCACAAACATATCCAAACCTCAAAAACCGAAAGTCTGTTATGCTCACCAAGGCTGTTTTTAAAAAAAATCAAAACTACAATAAATAAAAGTAATACTGTGAAGTTTTATTACAAATTAAAACAACTATTTTCTCTTTGTATATATATATATATATATATATATATATATATATATAAAATTGTAGAGAAAAACTGATCTGCCTTCAGCAAGCAAACCCAAGAAGCAGGGTTGCCAGGTTTTCCCAACAAAACCCGCCCAAGTGCTACTCAAAACTAGCCCAAAACTAGCCCAATCGCGTTCCGGTGGGTAACATACACGTAAAATACGCGTTTTTGTCTGGTTTCGCATTCCAGAGGCTAAATATCACGTTATTGGGGTCGCTTCAACCCGCGGCAACAGTGTTAAACTAGTCCAGGGGTAGGCAAGTTCGGTCCTAGAGAGCCGCTGTCCCAATTCTGCGGGAAAACCGCGGACTTGGCAACTCTGCCAAGAAAGCTCGTTCTTCCTCATTAGGTGACGATCCGCACGCTGATTGGATTTATGTTAATGAGGGGGCGAGGCCTTGGGAAATGAGTAGGTGACGTCAACTCTCATTCCGCAGAGAGCGAAACAAACATGGCGACAGGATGGAGTGGGAAAGGGTGTACGCTAACGTTAATGCTGTTCTTTTGGAGTAAAATCTGCGCGAATAGAGCGGAATCCCTGGGGAGCGACAGCCGAATCCTCGGCATGCGGCTGGAGTGGAGCGACAAGCCGGCCACGACCACCGACAATGGAATCATACAGGTAACCGAGGGGAGCAAAATCAAGCTCAGGTTCTACGGACTGCAAATCAGTAATGACACCTGGGAGCAGATTAAGTTCGTGGAGCAGGGCGAGGACAACAGCTCTGACTTCAACAGGACTTGTGCTGACTTCACCAAAGACCTCTCCATCCAGCCTAAAATGGAGGTTAGCAGCCAGGGCACATCTGGGGTGCTGGAGGTCAGTATTAAACCACTTAGGAAAAGTGAGTCCCAGAGGGATTACGGGCTGTGCATCAGACACAGCCAAGATGGGAAGTGGTACCTCCTGGGAGAACATGATGGAAAGTTGCATGTGGTGGAGGAGAAGAAGTCTCTGCTTCCCATTTGGTTCCAGGTGATCTTGATTTCCTGCCTCCTGGTGCTCTCAGGTATGTTCAGTGGTCTAAACCTGGGGCTCATGGCTTTGGACCCCATGGAACTGCGAATCGTCCAGAGCTGTGGCACGGAGAAAGAGAAGAAGTACGCACGCAAGATTGAACCCATCCGGAAGAAAGGAAACTATCTGCTGTGCTCGCTTCTCCTCGGGAACGTGCTGGTCAACACCACACTGACCATCCTGCTCGATGATCTTATCGGCTCTGGTTTGGGTGCTGTGGTGGCATCAACCATCGGCATCGTCATCTTCGGCGAGATCGTTCCTCAGGCGCTCTGCTCTCGCCACGGCTTGGCGGTGGGCGCCAACACCATCCAGCTCACCAAGTTCTTCATGCTTCTGACCTTTCCGCTGTCGTTCCCCATCAGCAAACTTCTAGATTGCATTCTGGGCCAGGAGATCGGCACCGTGTACAACCGGGAGAAGCTGGTGGGGATGTTGAAGGTGACTGCGCCATACAACGACCTGGTGAAAGAGGAGATGAACATGATCCAGGGTGCTCTGGAATTGAGGACTAAGACAGTGGAGGACATCATGACTCCACTCAGCAACTGTTTTATGATCAACAGCGATGCTGTGCTGGACTTCAACACTATGTCAGAAATCATGGAGAGCGGATACACGCGCATTCCAGTTTATGAGCACGAACAGACCAATATAGTGGACATCCTCTTTGTGAAAGACCTGGCGTTTGTGGATCCGGATGACTGCACTACGTTGAAGACCATCACTAAATTCTACAACCATCCGGTCCACTTTGTGTTTCACGACACTAAGTTGGATTCCATGCTGGAGGAGTTTAAGAAAGGTTAGTCACTTTTTGTTTTTTGTTTTTTTGCTGCAGCATTTCTCATTGTCACTACCGGTGATGTTCATCTGGTGTAGCGAGGAACGGTACAGCTGGAGGGAGGTGTATCAGCAGTGATGTCACTTTTACAGGGTTTGTGGAGAAGGCCGCTGGTTCTGTCTATTCTTAATTAGTTCCGCTACTATCAGGTTGGAAAACACACATCCTCACATCCCTGTGGGCCTTTCTCTCCTCCACTGACTGTCAAGGTCAGCTGTTGGCAGTCTTTCTTCTCTTATTTCCTAAAGCCCATGAAGTCGACATGAAATCCCTATTGACCTTGTTTGCTTCCTAAAACACATTTGTGGTCTGACTGAATGATCATCAGTGCATGTTATTTCAGTACAAAAAAAATGTGTTTTCAATCTTTCCAACTGTAATGATTCTCTACATTTTTATTCCACCCCTCCAAAACCTGTCATATAATGTTATTTTAGTGTTGTTTGTGTTCTGTAATAATTTTGTAATAATATTTTGAATTTGATTTTATTTCTTAAATATTTCCAATATTTATAGTAAAAAATTTTTTTTGTAATTTTATGTAGTTTTTAATATTACTATTTAATTATTTTTTTCTAATATTCTAATAAAACAATGTAATCTTTTTATTTTTTATTTTTATCTCGGCTTTATTTTAATTAACAAAACTGAATGAATAGCTTCAGTTAATGATAATAACCCTGATATAAAGAGCTGATCATGATCCAGTCAATTATGTAATCAAGTCCCGCCCCATTTTTTCCCCATCGAATATCTTGTTTCACCTACAAATTGTCACATTACAGAAGTAAAATGACTTGTGAATGCCATTTCATGTCGTGAAGTTTTTGGAAATATTTCCCAGCAAGTCTTCAATTCAGTAAATCCTTAGTTGATTAAGTTGATCTTAGTTGATTAACCACGGGTAACCATTGTACCATGTTTTTACTACAGGCCCTCTGGGAAATATGTTTAAGCGGACATTTGTAATTCACTTCTAAAGCCTTGTATAAATACTGAGCTGAAATTTAACATTGCAGAGCTGTTTGGCTAATCACATGTGTTTGTTGTCATCACAATAGCCATGACACTAATGATGGAGCAAAACCTGCTGTCTAATCACTGCTTGCACAAGTTTACTGTCAGCAGGCTTTGACTTGGGGTTTGAGCTACATTTCCAGAACTTGAACTGTTCTATTGCTGAGATTATAAAGAAGTGTGTATATTCTTCTATATTTGGCATTAATTTAAACAGCCAAACCAGTCAAAATGGCATATTAATTAGCCTACATTCATTTAAAATCTGATTGACTGCCTGCCCTGTAGTCTAGTATAAAATTCTCAAGTTTGGGATTTATACTGTGCTAACATTCCTGCCATATTAGTTTTTAGTTTTTAATAAACTGAAGTGGCACTATAGCTCATTCGCTATAAGTGATAGTCACACAATATGTTGTGCTCATGTGAATGGTACATGACAGTACCAAAGGACATTAGCACTGATAACATGATAACTTCTTAATGTTGAAGCTAGATAAAATGTTTGGTTTTACTGTTAATCTTTTTAAACCTGGTTCCATGGTGCATTGAATATCTCAGAAATTGTTATGGTTATCTGAAAGGTACCATATTAGACTTATGACTCTGTTGATGTCATGACTTGCACCTTAAAGGGATAGTTCACCTAAAAAAATTAAAATTCTGTCATTATTTACTCGCCCTCAAGTTGTTCAAAGATATGTTAAAGAATGTTTGTAACCAACCAATCAAGTCAATGGCTACCAGCATTGACTTGATTGGTTTCGTTTCCAACATTCTTTAAAATATATATTTTTTGTGTGTTTTAGAAATTCAGACATTTTTGGAATGACATGAGGGTGAATAAATAATGACAATTTTCATTTTAACTGGAGACCAAAGAGACAGTCAAGACCTAAGATGTATGCATTCATTCTGTCCTTTGGACTTGGACAGGTAATACATTACTTACCAGTCACTAGTGGTTAAAAACTGTTTAGCCGCATGTAAGCGTATGTGATTTAGAATCATTAGGCTTGTATGAGTTTGTTGGATAATATATGAAGAAATCATGAATTGAAACATTTATTTCTTTAGTTGCATAACTGGTTTCAGCTATCATTTAAATGTTGGAGGTTTTATTGAATTGACTTTTGGAGGTCTGTATCACCTCTATACACATTCAGAATTCAGTGTATTGCACTGTACATACTGTATATTGCCTACTATTTTTAATAGCATGCCAAACCATACTCAGTATGTGACTATACGTATTTCTAATAGTAGTATGCTGTATTTTTGTCACATGGCTGTCCAGTTATCATCTCTAATTTTTTTTTTATTTTGCATTTAATAATTAATAATACTGGTAACACTTTACATTTAAGATCTGATAATATTAGTTCATGCATTAGCTAACATGAACTAACAATGAACAACAGACACTGAAAAACAAAATTGGTAGGATTTACTTAGAAACAATTTTCACTCAGAAATTGCTAGTAAATTTCACAAATAATTAAAAAGATAAAGTGAATGACACTTTGAAAATTAAGTAGAAAGACCAATGTACTCCAGTAATCTGTTTTCATTTACAACTTCAAAAACACTATTATTATAAATGAATTTTTTTTTGAAGCATTTATTAATCTTTGTAATGTTAGTTAATAGAAATACACTTATTTATTATTTGTTCACATTAGTTCACAGTGCATTAACTAATGCAAACTGTTTGTTTTAAAAATGTCTTTGTAAATGTTGTAGGCTAATTATTAAGATTATGCTGAACAAATGCTGAAGAAGGGTAACCTTAATATTAAGTATTGCATAATAACTATTTAAATAATAATAACAAAAAAAAACATCCAATCAAATAATGTGTTAATGAAATGATGTTTAAAATTGCAGTTGATATTGAATCATTTGGCATACTGGTAAGGACGAAAGGGTCATGTCAAGTGCATTACATTGTAGGATACAGTATTCAATATTGTGTGCTCTAGTGCACAAGAGTGAACAGATTATTTTGTCAATCTAGCTCTCAAGTCACCTGGGGCCTGTACCAAATAAATTCAGAGTTACAGGATTAGTTTCATGTTGACAAAACCGAACCACTCCAATTTGGCTTTGTTGGTACCATGATGCTGATCCTCAACTTTCTTTGTCAACTCAGGCTTTGATCCTGAGTTTGTGGTGCGCGAACTTGAATGTGTGACATCAGTGGCGAACAGCCAATCACCTGCCTTGCAACACAGAGCAAGTGTGAGTCACTTCTCGTGAGAGAGCCAGTGAGATTCAAAACTCTTTTGCTAAAGGTTAAGAGATTGAAGAACATGAGGAATTTAAACGCATTTACACTGAAGAAAGTACTTGTCCATGAAAGAGGACAAATAAAAGAATCCTCTTCATCTTCATTACCTTGCTCTATCAGTACAGTCACAAGTGAAACTTGTGAAGTTAGTGTATATAGTAGGGCTGCACGATTAATCGAATGAGATTGTCATGCGTATCTTGTCAGTAAAGCCGGTTCTGTGATTAGTAGTAAATCTCCAGCATTTGGAGTTTTAGCGCGAGAGCGCCGTCTGGCCTTCGGATGGAGATTTACTGCTGATCACAGAACCGTGCTTCACTGAAAGATACGCATGACAATCGCAGCTTCTGCCTAATCGCGATTTATCGCCTTTGCGATTTAATTTCAATGAATCGTGCAGCCCTATAGTTGATAATATATAGCGACTCGAGACTCAAACATGTAAGGTCACATGTAGTCATTTTTAAAGCGTTATCTATTGATTCTATAGCTTATTTATATTACATATGATCTGTATTAATATTCATTTAAAGTAAATGCTTTATAATAATTGTTAAACTAAAAATGCTTGTGTGTTCCTCTTCATCTTCATTACCTTGCTCTATCAGTACAGTCACAAGTGAAACTTGTGAAGTTAGTGTATATAGTAGGGCTGCACGATTAATCGAATGAGATTGTCATGCGTATCTTGTCAGTAAAGCCGGTTCTGTGATTAGTAGTAAATCTCCAGCACGTGCTTTCAGATGGAGCAGCGTTTACTACACAGAGCCGTAGTTCACTGACAAGCTACGCAAAATCGCGTTCATAATCGCAGATGATTTAATCGCGCGATT